AAAAGGAGAGAAATTTTTTTTTCTAATTATAACTAATTAATAAGTTGATTTCAAAGGCAAGTTAGAATTTTTTCTTTAGTTTGTTTTGTCATGAGACAATTTATTAAGTCTTTATCAATAATGAAATGAAAGCATAAGAGACGAGAAACGTGATTAAACTAATTATTTATAAAATATAATTTAGAGAAAATGTTTTCTTTGATTCGATTTTTGATTCAAAAGAACTGATGATATATAGGTTATAAACTTAAAGCTTCTTTATTAACAGTCGTTTCTTTGCCTATTTATATTGGTTGTAGTTTATATTTAAGTGAGAATATCTGACGAATTGTCAAAACAAAAATTAGTCCATAGCCGTATTTTTGTGACAAAAAATAGAAAAATTAATTTTCAATTCTTTGCCTATAACAGAAAGTAAAATTTAATTTTTTGTATTAAAGAAATAAACAGTTTAACGTTGCATTGATATAAACAATTGAACATTACATTGATAAAAGCAATAAAAAATAAAATAAATGTAAATAAAAATTAGCAGTATTAATTTATATAATTATTAATTAAATTCAGACTTAAATTATTAATTAAATTATAAGTTAACCTAATACTTAAATTACTAATTACTTAATTATTTGAATTACTAAATAAATAACTGAATAAATTATTATAATAACAATATTAATTAAATTATTAATTACAATATCAATTAAAATATTAATTAAATTAAGACTTAAATTATTAATTAAATTATAACTTAATCTAATACTTAAATTACTAATTACTTAATCATTTGAATTATTAAATAAATTACTAATTAAATTACCAACTAATTTATTAATAAAATTACTAAATATTTATTATTTAATTATTTCTTAATTTATTACTTAAATTACTATTTGAATTATTAATTAATTATTAATTAATTATTAATTAATTCAATTATTATTGGAACAGAATGTTATAAAAATAGTTATCTGCGTTTATTTATTTTAGAGAAAATCGTAATTTTTATTTGTTTTTTTTTATTTGTTTGTGTTATAAAAATAGTTTTTATATTTATTCATGCTTACGAAAAATTGTTATTTTTATTTGCTTTATTGGCTTTTATTGTTTGTGTTATGAAAATATTTTTCCTATTTATTTGTTTTACAATTTTGTCAATAGGCAACATTGCTCTAAATTTTAGTTTGTTTATTTATTTAATATAATAAATATTTCAATAATTATATAATTTATATTGTTGAAATAAGTAAATAAATAATTTATAGTTAAAAAAATAATTTTCTGTATTTATCAATTTTTTTATTTTACAAAAGACTAATTTTTATTAATATGCATTAATAATTAATAGTATAATTTAAATTATTGAATGACTTTTAACTAATTATTCTCTAAATTTGAATTAGTAAAAATGTTAACTAATTAGAATTGGTAACTGACTTTTTGATTTTGAATTAGTAAATTAGTAAATTTTATTAATAAATAGTAATTTTTACTGATTATTATTAAAATTTAATTATAAAATTTAATTTTAATAATATTAAATGTAGTAACAGTAAATTTTACTAATAAATAGTAATTTCTACTAATTTACTAGTAAAATTTAATTATTAAATTAAATTTTAATAATAGTAAATGTACTAACAGTAATTTTTACTAATAAATATTAATTTCTACAAATTTATTAGTAAAATTTAATTATTAAATTAAATTTTAAAAATAGTAAATAAAGTAACAGTAAATTTTACTAATAAATAGTAATTTCTACTAATTTACAAGTAAAATTTAATTACAAAATTAAGTTTCAATAATAAATTCTACTAATATATTAGTAAAATTTAATAATTCAAAACTTCAAAAGCAAAAAGTCAGTTACTGATTCAAATTACTAAACATTTATTTACTAATTCAAATTTAGAGAGTAGAGTAAAAAAAAACATTAATTACTAAAGAGTACTTTTTCACAAAATTATATATAATATTTAAAATTCCTTTTTAAACAAAAAATAAATTATATTTAAAAAAAAATTTCTTCAAATGTGACTTAAATCCCTGAACACTTGTACATCACAATGATAAACAGAAAAGTTTTTAAGACTCATAGTCTTTTTGGCTATTATATATTCATCTGACGTTCCATCATAAAAAGCTCGAATGTTTGAGGAAAATGGAAGTTATCCCTCCATAAAACATAATCGTGAGTTAGATTAAGCTTGTATAGAGGTGTTATCGTCCAAAAAAAAGAAGGTTCTCCACACACTGAATTGAACGCGCAAAAAAATTTCCTCAAATGTCTTGTCAAAAATGTCCCCGTTTTTTATCTAATTTCATTTTATTTTAGTTTGCAAAAATATAGGGCATAACGTTAAAGAAAAATCTTCGCAGAATATTAAGGAAAATTAAAAAAAAAATTTTTAACTAAAGATTCTTGTTTTTTATTTATATAATGAAAATATTAATTCTGATTTTTACGTGGTTTGCCCCTTTTTTATATAAAATGAAAAAAAAACATTTTTGGTATTAAATTTGATATTTTTTTTAGTTGGGAAAATTATTTTTTCGAAATTAAATTGACAGAAGGTAATTGCTTTTATGAAAGTAAAAGCAATTACTTCCTGTCAATTTATTAGTTAGATTAACTAGTAAAAATATTTTTTTTCTATTTTTTCTTATTTTTATAAAAGCAATTTTTGCTTCTGTAGATAGAAAACCGCAAAAAGTGAAAATTCACTTTTGAATTTTAATCTGCTGTATATTTTTGTATTTTATTTGTATGTTTTCTATTTATTTATTTATTTAATTAGTTTATTTATTTAATTATTTATTAATTTAATTAGTTTATTTATTTAATTATTTATTAATTTGATTGGTTTATTAATTTAATTAGTCATTTACTTATTTATTTAAATATGTAGTTAGTTATTTATAGTTACGCGGGAAAGTATTTTTTTCTATTTTAATACCTAATTTATTGTCTCTTACGTTAAAAAAATAATTTATTTTGCGGGTAACTCTTGGAAAAGTCATAAAAAGAAAAAATGAAGAAAAATATTGAATGAAAATTTATGCAAGAGAGTAAAATTTCTGCTTATATGATTTACATATTCGTATATATATATATATAGTGATGAAAAAAGAACTTGCAGGATTCTATATTTTTCTTCTCTTTTTTTATATTCTATCGAGAACAATATGAATAGAGGGACACACCCATTTGGTTAAATAAGAGACAGGCCTTCATCATCGCCTGTCTTCGCGTGCGGTTTGGAGAAATATCGAAGTGTGATTTCCGTTGCGTGCCGGCTTGTTGCACAATAACTATGTAGACCATTTTTATTTGACATCTTTTTCATTTATTTAATATAGAAAATCATATCTTCCGTTGACATCAAATTCGCTCTTTTAAAAATATTTTTTGACATTTTTTTCTTTTATTCAATTTAATTAATTTATTTATTTTATTTATTTATTTATTTATTTATTTACTTATTTATTTTATTTATTTATTTATTTATTTATTTTATATTTTTTTTTACTTTATTTATTTTATTTTTTTTTACTTTATTTATTTTATTTTTTATTTTACTTTCAAATAAACTGTTTCGTAGGTACCTTTTCGTTTTATTTTTTTTATTTTATTTATTTTGTTTTATTTATCTTTACTTTAATTAATATAGAAAATACATCAATTCAATTTTTCAATTAACAATGGATTTTTTTTGTTGACACTATTTTTTGTTCACATAACTTTTTTTTAATTAAAAAAAAAAAACAAAATATATTTTACGCAGTAATGAGGAAAAGTTAATGTTAGTCGAATTATTTTTCTTTTTTATATGCAAGTACAATATAGTTGATAGATTAGTGAATAAATGATTTAAAAGAAAAATGTAATAAATAAATTTTAAGCGAAGAATAATAAAAATGGATGAAATGATTTTGATATGATTTTATGTGAGGGATAACTTAATTTCGAATTTGGAATTGTTAGCAAATGGGAAACGGGAAAAGTTGTCTGCCAACTTTTTTAATTTTCGGGGAAGTCTACTCGAGGAATTTTATTATTGCAAAAAAAAGTAATATATCTCCAAACGCAGCTGGTCAAAAATTTCCAAATCTCAACATTCAAGTGAAATTCTCTAAACAGGAATTTTAAAAAGGAATTTAAAAAAAGAATTAAAAAAAAGAATTAAAAAAAGAATTTAAAAAAAAAGAATTAAAAAAAGAATTTAAAAAAAGAATTAAAGAAAAGAATTTGAAAAAAGAATTAAAAAAGGAATTATAAAAAGGATTTGAAAAAAGGGATTTATAAAAATCTAATTTAAATAAGAAATTTTGAAAACTTTTCCCTTGGGAATAAATCGAATATATTTTTTAAATTGACGGATTTAAATAATAAATATTTTACTAGTATTTTTTATGTTAGAATTCGAAAAAACTGCATTTATTTTTTATTTCGTTTAAAATCATCGTGTAAGAGATAGAAGATTATTATTAATTTTTTATGTGTTGCTTTGATAGAATGAAGCTTTCAGTTTATAATCCGGATTATGAGTTTTCATTAATGATACGCATGATTTAACAACAAAATTATTAGCCTTATAAATAATGATATATTGAATTTTCAATAGTTAATTGTATCAAGTTAACAGAAACAACAATTTATTTTATTCATTTCTTCATTTATTATTATTTTTCTATAAAAAAAATAATTTATAAAATATTAAAAAAATTATTAAAATGTTATTTTTATTATTGAACTTTAATTTTATTTTTAAACTTTTATTATTATTATTATTAAATATTATTAAATATTATTAAATATTACTAAATATTATTAAATATTACTAAATATTATTAAATATTTTGTCATTGAACTCTAATTTTAGTTCATTTAAATTTGCAAAGTTTGTTGTTGTCGTCTCGATATATTAAGAGTTGAGAAAAAATAGAAAATCCGAACAAAAAAAAAGAAAGAAAAAAAATAATAAAATTAATTACAGATTAGTACATTTGTCGTACTGATTGCACTATCTAAAAGTGCAATACAGACAGAGACGCTACTAGAGACGTCAAAATTATCATCGCCTGTCGAAGTGAAAAAATCTCTTAATGCTGAAGATTTAGATACAGCTGCCAGTGATAGAAGTGAGTTTTTGAATCTTTTGTTTAAACTTATTTCGAATGTTTATACAAAGAAAAAAAAAAAAAAAGATTTAATGAATCAAAAGATATACGATTCGAAGACATTTTGATTTATTGTCTGTGCTCAACCCTTTTATTTTCGTTCAAGGAACTCGAATTGTAATTAGATAATTAGAATTGAATAATGATTCAGAATTAGGTCAGTTGGTCTCAGTTGAATTCAATTACAGATTTTTTCGATAAGGGTAAATTTACCCATATATATTGATTGCATCTATTTCCGTTGAAAATGAGCTTCTTCATTTTCATTTCGAGATCAACGATTCTTGCAAATTGTGTTTTATAATTATAATCGTTTTAATTATTTACATCTTAAAAAGATGAAATTTCTTAGTGGAATTTTCCGATTTATCGATTTTCCTCTTTTTTTTATGCAAAATCATTATTTATTGTGAATAATATTAATTGAAAATTAAAAATAATATTAATTGTAATATTATCATGAATTTATCACTCGGTGGTATTAAATAATTGTAATTATTATTATCCGTAATTATTACTAATTATAAATATTATTAACTGTAATTATTATTAACTGTAATTGTTATTAACTGTAATTGTTATTAACTGTAATTATTCTTAATTATAATTACTATTAATTACAATTTTAATTAATTACAGTTAGCATTAACTACAATCATTATTAATTGTAAATATTATCATTATTTATAATTATTATTAATTAATCGTGAACATTATTATTACTTGTAATTAATATTAGTTACACTGAGAAAACAATATTTTTTAATCAAACATAATTATCTTTGTCACATACAGTCAACCAAAATTTATTTTTGAATTAAACATAATTATTATTAATTATTATTAATTCATTATTATTTTGAATGAAATATTTTTACCTACTTGAGAATTATTGAAACATGCAGTATGCATATTATCCTGTTTAAAAAAAGACAGAAATTGACATAATCTGTAGTAGTAATAATAGTAATAATAACAACAGTAACAATAAGTGAACACATGAATTAGTCACGATGAAAAAATATGAATTCACCAAAGAAAATAATATTGTAAATAGTGTGACATAAACAGTGGTTGTCGTGAACTGTTGCAGTTTCTCAAACGTGTCTTCCAAGGATTTGCAATTGTTAAATTAACATACTAGATGACTGTGAATGTCATCCTTGTGTTTGTTTAAATAAAAACGCTTTTGACTTCCTAGAGCGTGAGAATATAAATGACACACTTCAGTCCATATTTTCAGTGTGAAAAAAGTTGTATAACTTTCCATATAATAATTGCGGATAGAAAACTATAGACAACATTGTTTACGTAATAGCCTTGAACAGTGACCGAGAGAGTGCAAATAAATTTTATATAAAGCAGGTCCTCGATTGGAAAAATTGAAAATTATTTTACGAAATTTACTAGCTTCTTTTTTTTGTAATGGAACGCATGAATAAACAGGAAAAAATATTTCTCTACTAATTAGTTCAGTGTCTTTAAATTTATAAGGTTGAATTTTTTTTTGTCTTGTCGAATTTCAAGGAACATGGTTTTGAACCAGTTTTTTTTGGTTTCTATTTGGAAATTTTATTAATTAGTTTTTTTTATAACTGTCTTTGCGGTTTTTTTCGAAGCTTATTTTTTCTTTAAAATTTTTAGAGGAGAACATTTCTAAGGACATTTAATTAATTTTTTAATTTAAATTTAATAGTAAGTGTCAACAAAAATATTAATTTTTTTCTTTACGAAAAATGAGTAAAATTTATGAATTCGAATAATTTCTAAAAATTACAATTTTTCCTTCTTGAATTTAATTATTTTTTATCATTTTCAACTTAACTTCATCTCTGAATCAATTAATTTAAATAATTTTTCAAAAGTTCTTCTAGAATTCAATTATTTAAATACAGAAACTCAATTTTTAATAATAACTGTAACTCTTCATAGTTTTTTCTTAAGTTATTGAGGTATAATATTTTCAAAAAATTATAATAAAGAAATTCTTATTACAATTAATTTTTTAAAAATATTTAAAAATTATTTTTCAACGATAATAATTTTTCAATTTTAAAAAATTTCCAAATAATTAAAATTTTGCATAATTTAAAAAAACTAATGAATTTTTTGCCGAATTTTAATTAAAAATTTTGAACATTATTGTTTTCTCCAAAATGTTAAAAATAATTCTAAAATGTTATTATTTTTGAAAATATGTAATGGAAAGTATTTAAAATATTTAATTTTGAAAAATTAGAAACTAATTTTCATTTTTAAATTTACCTTTAAAGATTATTCATTCAAATTTATGATAATTCAATTATTTTCAAAATTTGCAATTAAAATTCTTCAAAAGTTGATCTTCAAAAATTTTAACAAAATACTTGAAATAAATAAATTATTTTCAGTAAAATTTTACAAAATTTTAACTATTCAAAGACATTTTTTGAAAGATTATAATAAAGAAATTCTGACAATTAACTTTTTTAAAATATGTTTAAAATAATTTTTGAACGATAATAGTTTTTCAATTTTGAAAAATTTCCAAACAATTAAAATTTGGTAAAATCTTTTAAAAATAATTGAATTTTTGAATATAAATAAAAATGATCAAATTTTTGAAGAATTTTAATTATAAACAGGACAATAATTTCTTAAAAATTTTAATAAGTCCTTTAAAGTAAATTTTGAATTTTAAAAAAATTATTACAAAACAATTCTAATAATTAGTTTTTAAAAATATTTTAACTAATGTAATTTTTCGAAAATAATTGTATTTCTTAAAAGAATTTTTGTATTATTTAAAAAATGAATTTATGAATAACTAATAAATTTTTTGATGAATTTTAATTAAAAATTTTGAACATTTATTGTTTTCTTCAAAATGTTAAAAAAATAATTCTAAAATGTTATTATTTTTGGAAATATGTAATGGAAAATATTGAAAATATCGAATTTTAAAAAATTAGAAGCTAATTTTCACTTTTAAGTTTACCTTTAAAGATTTTTCATTAAAATTTTTGATAAATTAATTATTTTCAAAATTTGTAATTAAAATTCTTTAAAAGTTGATTTTCAAAAATAAAAACAAAATACTTTAAATAAATTAATTATTTTCAAGTAAATTTTACAAAATTTTTAACATTGCACATAATAATTGAATATTAAAAAATTTTAATAAAAAAATAAATATTCCCACATTTTTTGTTCATAAATTTAAACTTCTTTTTTAAATAGTTCCCAGAGTTAAAAAACTAAATAATAGAACTTTAGAATTTGTTGTTTTTTTATTCCACAATAATTTGTTTTTCATTTGTTTTTTATACGTTTTTTATGCTCAATTTATTTACAGTCAGTAAAACGGAACTTAATTTTCTTAAAATTAGTATTCACAAGACAGGAACATGTTAATTTTGAAAATAGCTTTTGTAATGGTTTAGATTATATGAGTTGTCGGCTTTATCAAACCTATAAAATGAATATAATTCTATAATAATATTGTCTTATACGTTTTACATTGAACAGATGTGTCCATCTTTTATATATAATTTATTTATTACAAAAAGTCATGAAACTACCATTAAGAATGGTGATTCATTTCCTTCACATAATTTTCATTATCTTATTTTACGATATTATTTTTTTTATGTTTATTCGTGTAAAAGTGAAATTTATTCTCTTTACTTTTTTTTTTTTTTTTGTTTTTAATTGTCAATAAATGTCGAGAAGAAAAGGATAAAGAGTCAGTCACCCGTGTAAAATGTATATATTCATATTCAAGTCGCGTGTCCATTACGTAATCAATAATAGTGTTACAGGTTGAAAGGAAAATAGATTTTTCAAAACAAAATTAATGACGAGATCTTCATGAGAATTGTAAAGTGTTACTTTTTTTACGATGCTAAACATTTTAAAATATTTTGAAAAATGCTAACACTTTTTGGTTTGGTTGTTTTGTAAATATTGGTTTATAAATTGTTAGGAAACTTTTGCTCATCATGAAATTTTGCGAGGAAAATATTGTTTTACAATCGACGAAAAAAAGTGTTTGAAAATAGTTGAAAATTGTTTTATTCGTTTTTGAAACAAGTTGTAGATTAGATTATAGTCTCTAGATTAGATTTAATAAATAAAATGAAATAAAGTAAAATTAAATTGAATAGAAAAAATAGAAAACATAGAAAATAAAAGGAAAATAAAAGGAAAATATAAAGAAAATATAAGGAAATAAAAAGAAAATAAAAAGATAATAAGAAAATAAAAAGAAAATAAGAAAATAAAAAGAAAATAAGAAAACAAAAAGAAAATAAAAAGACAAACAGAAAATATTAACAGAATAGAAGGAAAAGAATAAGAAAATAAAAGGGAAATAAATAGAAAATAAGTTTTCTTTTTTTTTTAAATAAATCTGAAATTGTACCTACGGAATATACATAATAGTTTTTCTGAAAGATTCTCTGATTCCAGCATTCCTCGTCAGTAGGGATTATGGGGGATATGGAGGTTATGCAAGTGGAACACCTTATGGTTATAGTACAACATATAGAGGTGGATATCGAGGCAACTATCCTGGAATAATTGGGGGTGGAAACCTCGGGTAAATATTAACTTACTTAACGATCGTGTTGCAATCAAATATAACAATAAGTGTTACGCTCATGCATATATAAACCCAACAAAATGCTCAGATGATTGCACTGTTATTCATAACAAATGAATCGTTTTCAATACGATTTCATGAAAATTAAATCATAAAAGAAAAATTTTAATTTCAATTTTTCTATCTCAATAATTCAATAGAACTCTATTTCTATCTATCTCAATCTAAAATTAAAATTTTAAAATAAATTTTATTTTTAAATTTCATTAAAAATAAATAAATAAATAAAAAATAAAATTATTAAAATTAATTATCAATAATTATTAAAAATAAAAATCTATTTTTAATAATTATTGATAATTAATTTTAATAATTTTAAAAAAAGTCTGAAGTAAACTTTAGTATATTTTTTACATATTGTTTATTATATTTTACATGTTACTCCCTAAATCTGAATAAGTAGAAAGTTACTAATAAAATGACGAAAAGTCGTCCACAAAATAATTTAGTAATAATATTACCAAATATTAGTAAAATTTTACTAACAATTACAGGGTTGCCACAATTCTTCGCAGAAAATCAATTATATTCAAAAATTTTTAAAAATTCTAGTCAAAATTACAATTATTTTTATAAATAATAAAATTCTTTTCTGAAATTCAATTATTTTAAAAAATTTTTAATAAAATTCTTCTCCGCAATTCGCAATTATTTTCAAAAATTTTAATAAAATTCTTTTCAAAATATCAAATATCTTCATAAATAATAAAATTCTTCTACTCAATTGAATTATTTTCAGAAATTTTAATAAAATTCTTGTAAAAATTTCAATTATTTTCAAAAAAAAAATTCTTCACAGAAGTTCAAATCTTTTTAAAATTTTTAATAAAATTCTTGGCAGAGTTTTATTTATTTTTTAAATAATAAAATTCTTCTATGAAATTCACTTATTTTCCAAATTTTCAATAAAATTCCTGTCAAAATTTCAATTATTTTTATGAATAATAAAGTTCTTTTCTAAAATTCAATTATTTAAAAAATTTTATAAAATTCTTGGCAAAATTTCAATTATTTTTATAAACAATAAAATTCTTTTATGAAATTCAATTATTTTAAAATTATCTTTATAAATAATAAAATTCTTCTCCGCAATTCAATTATTTTCAAAAATTTTAATAAAATTCTTTTCAAAATGTCAATTATTTTTAAAAATAATAAAATTCTTCGCAGAAATTCAATTATCTTTAAAAAATTTGAAAATATTGTAGTCAAAATTTCAATTATTTTTATAAATAATAAACATCTTTTTTGTAATTCAATTATTTTCAAAAATGTTAATAAGATTCTTTTCAAAATTTCAAATATCTTCATAAATAATAAAATTCTTCTCCGCAATTTAATTATTTTTAAAAATTTTGATAAAATTCTTCATAAAAATTCAATTTTAAGAAATATTCAATTATTTAATAAATTATTTATCTTTCTATTTAAATAATGGAATTCTCTAAAAATTTTCTAAAAATGATTAAAAATTGAATTTTATTTTAAATTTTAAATTATATTTGAATATTAAAAGCATTATAGCGTGAATTTTTAGAAATAATTGAATTTCGAAAAGGGTTTAAATTAAAATCTTTATTGAAATTTTAAATTTATAGAATTACAATAAAATTCTTCACAGAAATTCAATTATCTTCAAAAAATTTTAAAATATTGTAGTCAAAATTTCAATTATTTCTATAAATAATAAAAATCTTTTCTGTAATTCAATTATTTTCAAAAATTTTAATAAGATTTTTTTCAAAATTTCAAATATCTTCATAAATAATAAAATTCTTCTCCGCAATTTAATTATTTTTAAAAATTTTAATAAAATTGTTGTCAAAATTTCAATTATTTTCAAAAATAAATAAATTCTTCACAGAAATTCAATTCTTTTCAACATTTTTATAAAATTCTTGTCAAAATATCCATTATCTTTATAAATAATAAAATTCTACTCAGCAATTCAATTATTTTCAAAAATGTTAATATAATTTTTGTCAAAAATTCAATTATTTTCAAAAATAAAAAAATTCTTCGCAGAAATTCAATTTTCTTCAAAAATTTTTGAAAATTCTAGTCAAAATTCCAATGATGTTTTTAAGTAATAAAATTCTTCTCCGAAATACAATTATTCTTACAAATTTTATTAAAACTGTCAAAAGAATTCAATTATTTAAAAATTTGTTGATAAAAATCTTTATGAGAATACTATTTTAAGAATGATTCAATTATTAAATTATTCAATAAATTATTTATCAAATTTGTATTTAAAAAATTGAATTCTTCTAGAATTTTCTAATAAAAATTGATTTAAAAATGAATTTCAGTCTTAAACTTTTAGATATTAATTGAATATTAAAAAGCATTATAGTTTTTAAAATAATAAAAAGAAATGAGAAATAATTGAAGTTTGAAAAGGTTACAAATAAAAATATTTGAAAATTTAAATTTTTCATACTTATTCAACTGTAGAATTAATTTTTTTGAAATTATTAGAATTTTTTATTTTCCTTATATTTAATTGAAAAAATTCCGAATAATCGAAATTTTAGGGAAAAAATCAAAATTTTGTCTGAAAATTAGGAAAAAGTCAGGGAAAATATTTAGAAAAATAATTTGATGTTTATGTTTTAATGATTATTGTTCTACAAGTAAATTTTAAATTATAATTAATATATTTGTGGCAACCCTGAATTAGTAATATTCTACTAATTAAAAAGGAGAAAAGTTGTCCATGAAAACTACTAACAATTATTAAATTTTGACTATTTCTTAGTAGAATTTTACATATTCAGATTTAAAGATTAAGGTTAAGTTTAGTAAAAGTTAGTTCAAATTTACTTCGAATAAAGCAAAATTTATTAATTAAATTTATTAATTTATTTATTAATTTATTAATTTATTTATTAATGTATTAATTTATTTATTAATTTATTAATTTATTTATTAATTTATTAATTTATTTATTAATTTATTAATTTATTTATTAATTTATTAATTTATTAATTAATTTAAAACAGTTAAATATAGTTGAAATTTAAAAAATGTTTGTAAGACTTAATTTGACGAAATTAAAATAGAATTTATAAATTCCTGAGGTTTCATTCTCTTTCTATGTATATCGTCCTTTTTTATCTGCTACTTTTCTCATTTTCCGCAATAAAAATGTAGGGTATTCGCATACAAAGAAATTTGTTGCATAAGTGCTGAGCAAATTTGCTTTTCATGTTGCTTCCTTTTCTTTTTTTTCATCTATATCAAGAATGGGAAAATATTTCCATTGGAAATTTTTATATATTTCATAATACGTGCATATATCATCCTTTTTCTTTTTTTAATAATCTAATTCGAATTTAATTGCAAAAATTTGTCTTTCATATATAGTTATGGATATTATGGAAATGGGTATGGAACTGGTTCATATGGGACGAATTACTATCCAGGAAAATACAGTGGATATGGTACCGGTTATGGTGGATATGGTACAAATTATGGAGGTTATGGCACCAATTATGGAGGTTATGGAACCAATTATGGAGGTTATGGTAGCAATTACGGAGGTTATGGGACGAATTATGGTGGATATGGTACAGGTTACGGTACTGGTTACGGTACTGGTTACGGTACTGGTAATGGAGGTTATGGTACAGGTTACGGAATAGGAGATTATGGATATTCTGGATATCCATCGTATGGTTATGGTAATTATGGTGGCTATGGACAAAGTTATTACGGTGGTACACCCTCAGGCTATCGAGGTTACTCAAAATAATTTCCATACCATTAATTCTCATAAATATTTATATTTATAATTTATAAATATTTTCATTGTCTATTCTTCTAATTAGAAATTATATATTTTTTTTAAAATAAATTTTACAAAAACGAAAATATATATTTTTCTATTTCCACTGGAAATTTTCCTTGAAATTTATTTTCCTTTGATGTATAATATTAGGTTGTATAAATTTTTTACTATTGCAGGGTTTTCACAGGTCAGGGAATTTGGGGAAAAGTCAGGGAAATTAGATTTGGTCAGGGAAAGCAGGGAAAAGTCAGGGATTTTTATTAAAAGTGCTGGAAAATATTACATTTTTCAAAACTTATTCGCTTAGATTCAATTAGGTTCAAAAATTTTTTAAAATTCTAGTCAAAATTTTAATTATCTTTATAAATAATAAAATTCTTTTCAGCAATTCAATTATTTTAAAAAATTTTAATAAAATTCCTGTCAAAATTTCAATTATTTTCAAAATTGAAAAAAACTCGTTAAAATCCCAATTATCTTTATAAATAATAAAATTCTTGTCCGCAATTCAATTATTTTCAAAAATTTTAATAAAATTCTTTTATGAAATTCAATTATTTTTATAAATAATAAAATTCTTTTATGAAATTCAATTATTTTTATAAATAATAAAATTCTTTTATGAAATTCAATTATTTTTATAAATAATAAAATTCTTTTATGAAATTCAATTATTTTCAAAAATTTTATAAAATTGTTGTCAAAATTTAAATTATCTTCATAAATAATAAAATTCTTCTCCGCAATTCAATTATTTTCAATAATTTTAATAAAATTCTTGTCAAAATTTCAATTATCTTTTTAAATATTAAAATTCTTCGCAGAAATTAAATTATTTTCAAAAATTGTAATAAAATTCTTGGCAAGATTTCAAATTATTTTTATAAATAATAAAATTCTTTTCTCAAATTCAATTATAAAAAAAAATTTTAATATAATTCTTGGCAAAATTTCAATTATTTTTATAAATAATAAAATTCTTTTCCGAAATTTAATTATTTTCAATAATTTTAATTAAATTCTTAATAAAATTTTTCAATTATTATAAAAAATTTTCCTCATTTCAATTATTTTTAATATTTACTATTTTAATAAAATTTTCCAAAGGAATTCAATTATTTAAACCAAATTTCAATAAAAATTTCACAGAAATTCAATTACTTACCAATTTTTCTAAAAATTTCTTCCCACCAATTCAATTATTTAGAAAAATTTTAATAAAATTCTTTTAAAAATTCTATTATTTAAAAAAATTTTGACAAAAATTCTTTACAAGATTTATTTAATAAAATTGCAATTTTAATAAAATTTTTCTACACAATTCAATTATTTCCATAAAAAATAACATTTTTCTCGAGAATTTAATTATTTTAAAATTTTTTGTTAAAATGATTTATAAATTTAAAAAATTATGATAAAATTAATCATAGAATACAATTATTTTCGTAAAATATATAACACTCTTCATAGGAATTCAATTATTAAAAGAAAAATTTAATAAAATTCTTCGTTAGATTTCAATTATTTTCAATTTTTTAATGAAATTTCACGATGGAATTTAATTATTTTCAAAAAGTTTTAAAAAATTTTGAGAAATTTAATTACCTATTTAAAAAAATTTTAATAAAATTCTTCACAAGAAATTACTTATTTTCATAAATAATAATATTTTTCTCCAGAATTCAATTTTTTAAAAAGTTTTTTAATAAAATTCGTTACAAGAATTCATTTATTTTCATAAAAAACAAAACTTATCGCCGAATTCAAATTATTTTTTATACAATTTTAAATAAACTGATAGAAAATTGTATTTATTCTTAAAATTACTTTTTAAATTCACCGAAAGAAGTCAATTATTTTTAAAAATTTTGATAAAATTCTTCATAAAAATTAAATTTTAAGAAATATTCAATTATTTAATAAATTATTTATCTTTCTATTTAAATAATGGAGTTCTCGAAAAATTTTCTAAAAAATTGATTAAAAATTGAATTTTATTTGAAATTTTAAATTATATTTGAATATTAAAAGCATTATAGCGTGAATTTTTAGAAATAATTGAATTTCGAAAAGGGTTTAAATTAAAATCTTTATTGAAAATTTGAATTTATAGAATTACAATATTCTTATGATATAAAATAATGATTTTATCACTCTGTCATCTTAATTTTATTGGAAATACAAAAAAAAAATATTGTCTGAAAATCAGGGAAAAACAAAATAAAATTTTTGTGGCAACCCTGTATTGTTATCATTTTAATTAACAGCAAATAGTATTTTTTTGGGATAAAATTTTGTGTAAAAATGGAGGAAGAACTTTTTTTCTATTAAAATGCACTAACTTGTGAGCTATCGCGACTTAGAAAGGTTTGTTTTGTAGCTTATACGCTAATTAAAGTTCCTACAGAGTTAACAGGTTTATATACATGTCTCTCTGTAACGGAAAATAATTACTTTTGTATACATAAGTTTTGCATGATAAAAAGAATCTTTTTGCAACGATTTTTAGGGATTTAATTAAAATTTAATTTTGAAAAAGATTTATTTATAAAAAAAGTTGATTTTCCTTTTTTTTAAGAGTAATCCTAATTTTTTATGGTATTTTAAAATTTTTCCGAAATATTGAAATTTGGAAATTTTTATTAGATTTTTTTAAAGGAGAAGATAATATTAGATTTTTTCAAAGGTAAAAATAATTTCAGATTTTTTCGAAGAAGAGAAAATAATATTGGATGTTTTAATGACACAGAAACGTGATAAATAGAGAATATATTTGCAGTGCAACAATTCTATGGTAACATAGTTGCATTTGTGGACAAACTTGTTGAATAATTAACAAAGGAGTTGATTCGCTCACGTGTTTCGTGGTAGTCATCAGGTCGAACTTGGGTAAAAGTACTTTAGACGCAATTAATTATTTTGTATTAGCAGTGGGTGTTTAAAGTAATTACTTATGTTTCTAAATTTCGCAAAGATTTTCAGTTAAAAAAAAAAGTAAATTTAGAATAGAAAATTTTTATTTCTCTCTCTCTTATTTCTTTTTAGTTTAAATAACCATTGCATCTCGTGATACACTTTAAAAGGTAAACTGCTTTGAAAAATTAATTAATGTTTCAAAGAATTATTAATAAAGTTTGAAAATGGAATTTTTTCGGATAGAAACTAATTAGTGAGTATGTGTATTATAGGAAAATTCACAAAAGATGTTTGACTTTAAAAGATATTTTCTTTGAATGCAATTTTTTTTTCTTTCTGTTTCTACCTGACTCGTAAATAGTAATAAAATATTGATTTTTTTTTTTTGTCGAAAAAGGAGGAATTGGATTACATGCGTATTGATTAAGTACATAACTTTATTTAATATTAAAACTCTGAAAAGAGAAATTAACGGCTCGTTGATTCTTCGTTGTTAATGCAAACTGTAAAATTGAAATTTAAAGAGATTATAGCTACAATTCCCTTCGTATTTTATTCGATGATAATTTAATACTGTTTATCTAGAATTAGTGAATATGTTCTAAAATTTATTATGTTCATTCGATTAATAATGTAGATCCAGAGAAATGCTTTATTTGAAGCAAATATTTTGTTAGATAAATTTGTCGCACAGTTTAGTGATCTTTTTGTTTGTTTCAAATTTCTAAACAGTTTATTTGGCACAAATAATTCTTGTTTTTTTTTCGGGCGAAAATAAATTTTTTATTCGAAATAAATAAAATTTATTGAACAAAAAATTTTTCTTGACAGAAATAATATTTTTATATGAATCAAGTAAAATTTATTTCTAACAAATAAACTTGATTGAACCAAATATAATTTCTTTATAACAAATAAAATTTATTTCTAAAGAATAAAATTTAGTTGTAATAACAAAATTACTTTTTGTTCGAAATAAATTTTTTATTTAAACTAAACATAATTTATTTCCAACAAATAAACTTGTTTAAACCAAATTCAATTTCTTTATAACAAATAAAATTTATTTCTAAGAAATAAAATTTATTTGTAACAAATACAATTTATTTGACCTAAATAAAATTTTTTTCTAAAGAATATAATTTATTTGTAACAAATAAAATTTTTTTATAAGGAATAAAATTTATTTGACCTAAATAAAATTTTTTTCTAAGGAATAAAATTTATTTGTAACATAAAAATTACTTTTTGTTGAAAATAAATTTTTTATGTAAACTAAACATAATTTATTTGGAACAAATAAAATTTATTTCTAAGGAATAAAATTTATTTCTATAAAATAAAATTTATATTTAACAAATAAAATTCATTAAAAAAATGCCTTTTTCCAAAATTTGTTTTATTGAGTAATTTTAATTAGAAAAAATTGAAAGTTAGTGTGATATCTTTAGTTGGTAAATAATAATGAGAAAAACTATAGAACTGTGGTTGATAAAGAAGGAAACGAATGGAATAGTGTTAGCAGATAGTAAAGAAAATTTCGCTGGATAAATATCCGACTGTAGGTAATAATAAAATTCCCTTCTATATTGATTGAGGGAAAAAAAATTACAGGAAAGGAAATTAGTTTAAAATAAACAGATAAAGTAAAAGAAAATAAAATAAAAAAAGAGAAAAAAATAGAAAAATAAAATATAAATAAAAAAATAATAAAAAAATAAAAGAAAATGAAATTATTAAATAATTTATTTTGTATATTTTAAGGAATAATTAAAATAAAGTACACATTTTTTCTGGAAATATAAAAAACGTTATTTAATTAAACTTTCTCGTAATACAATTTTTTAGTTTACAAAGTTCTACAAGTCTTCTTCGAAATGAAAATTATAAGTACAAAACAATATTCATAATTTTTTTTACAACACTTATCGACGGGAATTATTTTTTTATCATACGCTGGTAAACTGATTACTGACTTTTTTTTACCTTATCATTAGTTTTTCATCTTATTATTTCTTATCATACGCTGATAAACTCATTATTGACTTTTTCTACCTTATCATTAGTTTTCCATCTTATCGTCAGTTGAAATTATTGTTTACCAGTTACAGATGTCGCGCGAGAAAAATTCTTTACTCAAACATTTATATATATGAACATAAAACAGAGAAATAAAATAGTTTTGAAAAATTGGGAAAATATTGATAGAGTAATTGAAGAAAGAGAATTTTTGATTGAAAAAATTGGTATTGATCCTACAAAACTTCTTCTTCTAGATGTTTGGTTCGCGACACAAGCTCTGAGATATCTTTGCCACTGAAAAGAAAAATTTCATTTTATAAAACAAAAATGTCGAATGTATTAAAATTTTAATATTAAAACTATTTAATGTTATTTTTAATACTACGAGTAGTTAATATTATAATTGTTAATATATATTCAAACTATTTTTATGTTAAAACTATTGTAATATTTAAACTGATATAATATTCTAACTATTTTAATATTCGAACTATTTCAATATTCCTGATATTTAAATATTCCAACTATTTTAATATTATAACTATTTTAATATTAAAGCTATTTTAATATTAAAGCTATTTTAATATTAAATCTATTTTAACATTACATCTATTTATTATTAATTAACGTTTTTAGTTAATTAACTATTTTAATGTTACAACTAACTAATATTTAAACTATTTTGATATGAAAACTATTTTAATATGACAAATATTTAATAGTTTTTCAAATATAGTTTTAATTTCAGAACTGTTAAATTTCTTTTATTGAATGGTCATAAAATTAGAATAGTTAATTGTTAATTAAAATAGTTACTTATTATTAAATAGTTGTAATATTAACATAGTTGGAAAAGTTAAATAGTTAGAATATTAAAATAGTTGTAATATTAAAATAGCAGGAATATTAAAATAGTTCGAACATTAAAATAGTTGTAATATTTAAATAGTAGGAATATGAAAATAGTTGGAATATTTAAATAGCAGAAATATTGAAATAGTTCGAATATTAAAATAGTTGTAATATTTAAATAACAGGAATATTAAAATAGTTGGAATATTTAAATAGCAAAAATATTGAAATAGTTCGAACATTAAAATAGTTGTAATATTTAAATAACAGGAATATTAAAATAGTTGGAATATTTAAATAGCAGGAATATTGAAATAGTTCGAACATTAAAATAGTTGTAATATTTAAATAGCAGGAATATTGAAATAGTTGGAATATTTAAATAGCAGAAATATTGAAATAGTTCGAATATTAAAATAGTTGTAATATTTAAATAACAGGAATATTAAAATAGTTGGAATATTTAAATAGCAGGAATATTGAAATAGTTCGAACATTAAAATAGTTGTAATATTTAAATAGCAGGAATATTGAAATAGTTGGAATATTTAAATAGCAGAAATATTGAAATAGTTCGAATATTAAAATAGTTGTAATATTTAAATAACAGGAATATTAAAATAGTTGGAATATTTAAATAGCAGGAATATTGAAATAGTTCGAACATTAAAATAGTTGTAATATTTAAATAACAGGAATATTAAAATAGTTGGAATATTTAAATAGCAGGAATATTGAAATAGTTCGAACATTAAAATAGTTGTAATATTTAAATAGCAGGAATATTGAAATAGTTGGAATATTTAAATAGCAGAAATATTGAAATAGTTCGAATATTAAAATAGTTGTAATATTTAAATAACAGGAATATTAAAATAGTTGGAATATTTAAATAGCAGGAATATTGAAATAGTTCGAATATTAAAATAGTTGTAATATTTAAATAGCAGGAATATTGAAATAGTTGGAATATTTAAATAGCAGGAATATTGAAATAGTTGGAATATTTAAATAGTTGGAATATTGAAACAGCAGGAATATTGAAATATTTTTAATATGAAAACTATTCTAATATGAAAACTATTAATTAATTAACTATAATTTAAAATTAAAAAGTATAACTATTAACTATTGAAGTTACTATTTTTCATTAATTTTCAAACTACTAAAAGTAAAAGCAGAAAATACGAACATTTGAAGTAAATTTGATTTTATCGTCTCGACTTGTTTTTCCTTGAAGACAATTTCCTTTTTCTGTCCATTTGTATTTGGACTCTCGACAGAATTTAATGTTTGTTTGTTAGCCTTCTTTTTTAATTGCTCCAATCGAACGGAAAATTCTTTCACTTTATTCTCGATTAATTTCATTTCTTCAGCTTCGGCCCTCTCAACGGGCGATAGTGATGGTTCTTTTAAATTAACTAATCGAAGTACCTCTTGCGCTCTGGAATGGAAAAATAAAAATAATTTTCTGTTTTCATTAACTGTTTGGAAAAAAAAGAAACAAAAAAAGAAATTAAGAAAGGAAACATACCTTTGAGCGAGATCCTCCTGATTATCTTTTATGTCCTCGTAGCGTTCTGCTAATTTTTCTGCATTCTGCTGTAGTTCCTTTTTCATTTGAATCAAATACTCAAGTTCCTTTAGTTGATGATTCTTTAGGGCTTTCAGTGTTCGCACTTTCTTTACTATTTCCTCGCGTACCTTATCGTGACGTACGAAATGTTGCGATCGGAAGATTGTCGTTGCTCGATAAAGTAACTGGATTTTGTAATGATATTTGGAAAATTAATATTTGGTATTCAAAATTGAATATTTAGTATTTAAAATTGAATATTAAAAAGTCGAATATTAATTATTAAATTAAATTATATTATTAAAAAATATTAATATTAAAAAATCGAATATTTAATATTAAAATCAAATATTTGGTATTAAAAAACGAATTTTCGGTATTTAAGTCAAATATTTGGCATTAAAAATCGAATATTTGGTATTGAAGTAAAATATTAATTTTATTAAGTAGTACAAGTCAAAATTTAGTCGGACACCTGTTCAATTGTTATAATTAAAGCGTAAGTAGTAAGAACATCGTTTAGTCAGACGAATAATTATTTTATTTTCAATAAAAATAACTAGTAGTTTCGTTTCGAATTTTTTATAATAAAAATTTTAGTAGTGAAAATGATTTAGATCCAGAATTAAAAAGAATTAAAAATTTTCTGTAAAAAATATTCTGTAGTAAAAAATACTTTTAGTCAGAATATTTGGTATTAAAGTAAAATATTTGGCATTAAAAATCGAACGTTCGGTATTTAAATCAAATATTTGGCATTAAAACTCGAACTTTCGGTATTTAATATTTTTCGGCAAAATATTTGACATTAAAAATCAAATTTTCGACATTTTAGTCAAATATTTGGTTTTAAAACTCGAATTTTCGGTAAAAGTAAAATATTTGGAGTTAAAAATCGAATTCTCGGTATTAAAAATTGTAAATTTAATATTAAAAATTGAATATTTAATATTTGAAAATGAAAGTAACAGTAAATAATAATTCCATGTGAAAAAATAAAATGTATTTTTAAATTTACCTCGAGAGATTCCCGGGCAGTCAAATTTTGTCGTAGGCCAAGCATTGTGATTGGTTGAGACGATTCGTGTCTTAGGAATTGTTTAATATAAACGTCAAAAGATTCTTTAGTCACCTGAAAATAATTTTTAGTGTAAATTCGAAAACCTGTGAGAAACTTTTAAAGAAATTAGAAAATAATATAGTTTTTAATGATTAAAATATATTTTTACTAATTAGAAAATAATGTATTTTTTAATGATTAAAATATATTTTTACTAATTAGAAAAAATAGATTTTTTAATGATTAGAAAAAAAAGCAATTTTTTAATTATTAAAATCCTTTTTTTAACTGTTAAAAAAAGAAGTATTTTTTTCATAATTTATTTTACAATTAAAATTTACCTTTTTACTGGAACTGTTTACCGGTTTTGTGTACTCAATTTTTGGCAAGTAATTAAAGTCAGCGATAGACAAATTAACAACAACTCCAGTGTACAAAAGGGAAATGAGAACACAAGGCTCTTGCAGTAAACCAAGTCCCAATATTGGTGTTGCATCATCCGAGACAGTATGTTTTGTTCTAGTGCAAACCAAGTACTGAGAATTTGACTGATTCTGAAGTGAGGGAAGATATAAATCTAAATTTTCTGTAAGAAAATGAAAAATTGAATTTAATTACTTTGTTAGTTCTGAAAATTATTTTCTTTTTTTACTTGAGAATATATATTTTGTTTCTCTACCTTCATTCGCGTCGCGATATTCTTCCAATTGAGAAATCATTGGCAAATTGACAACATGAATTCCAGCATTGTGGGAACAAAAATATCTGCAAATAGTTAGAAATTAGAAATTAGAATTAGAAATTTATATTTAAATATATTTGGGAAATGTTATTTAGAAGGAATATTTTAAAAATATTTAGGATGCTTTTTTCTTGCAAGTTTACCTTGAAGTGTTGTCTTTGTCTTTGTGAAGATGAACTGGACACGTATATTTTTTATCGTCGTCATTAAAAAAGAGACCTAATTCCATTTCCACGCATTCGTAGACGTAGAGAGCGACGTCTGGGGTATGGAGACTGTACGTCGATCCATATTGAGACCAAGTCTTAAAAAAGAACAAAAAAAAAAAATTAGAAAATTAGAATTTGTGCCTTAAAACGAAAAGTGGAATTTTTTTTTTAGAGAAAATTAAAAGGCAATTTTACAGAAATTCTTACAATTAATTTTTTTTAAATATTTTACTTTTCTGGTATTCAAAATAAGATTCAATTTTAATTTAGGTAGATAATCATTAAAAATCAGTAGTAGAAGTCAATTTTAGTCGGACATGCTTCCCTCAGTCTTTTGTAAGTAGTAACAAGATCGTTTAGTCAGACGAATAATTATTGGCAGTAAACAATTTTTTTTTGGTTCCATTTCCATGGTTCCAATTTCTCTTATCGGTTATATTAGTCGAAAAAGTTATTTCAGTCAGAGAAAATAATTTAAAAAAAATTTTTCAGTAGTAAAAGTAATTTTTGTCAGACTATTCTTCTATCCGAAAGTGAAAACTTGGTTACAAAAAAAATAGAAATAAAAAATAAATTTTAATGAAATGAATACTTACTTTCTTTTCTTCGTCTTCAAAATCATCGGCCAATAGAATTGCGTGATATATTTTTCCGGAACAATCGGCAATCACAACAATTGGCGGGGTTGTTTGTATGCACATTATTGAACAACAATCAATTCCGTAATTGTCAACAGCTGGTGGATACATACTAAGTGATCCCAGAACAACAGGCGTTGATGATCTGTATATTCGAAAATAATAATAATTTTAGAAGTGATTTTTTCCTTTTTTCCCTCCTCTTGAATAAAAATACTCGTGAATATTTTAGTTTTAAAAATAATAACAAACCTTGATTTTAAGATGTCGCCTTTTACAATGAAAATATCTCCATTTCCACGGAGAACAAGTATGGGCCATTCTATTTGATTCCATTTTACTTTATCGACCTTTGAGAAAAATTATTTATCATAGAATATTTCTTTTGTATAATTATATTATATTTTATATTTTTTATAATAATGTAATAATTTATATTATTTAGTTAATAATATAATTTATAATTATATAATTGAACCCCTTAATGCAAGAACCAGACATAGGTCATTGAAATTAAATGGGCTGCGTCTGGTTCTTGCATCAAGGCGTTCAATTATAAGAAAATATAATATATATATAAATTAATAAATATTATTAAATATTTATTAATATAATACCTACTTTAATATTATAATAATATTTTTTTTTTCTAATATTTTTTATTATAATTATAATTGGTTCGTTTTGTTTCGAATTTTTGAAAATTATGTACCTCAACATCTTTGTCAGATTCGGGTTGAACGCAAGGTGAGGAGAAATCAAAATCGACAGCAACTTCTCCGAGTGATGCGAAGCTTGGTATTTTTGAGGGTGAAATAGAAGGTGTTGGGCCAACTTTCCAAGTTTTTAGTAGAGTAGGTGTTTCTCCGATTAGACACTCGTATAAACTGTTTAACAAAAGCAAGAAAAAAGTAGTAAAAATAATTTAAAAAATTAATAATATTTAATGATAATTAATAATAATAATTGATCTAGTAATTGAATAATAAATAATTAGCAAAAAAAAAATCGAATTCACTTACTGAAATGTATTTTGCGACGTGAGCACAACAAGATGGGAATGATTTATCGAACCCGGATGCCATCTGGCTTTTCTAATTTCATTGGTCGCGAGGTGAGAACCAAATCCATCTAGATGATGACTTCTGTAAGCAAAATGCGAAAATATATTTGTAACTAAAGTTTGAAATATATTTTTAGTATATTCTTGAAGAAAAAGAAGTCAAAAGTGATAAATTGTTGGTAATTTTATAGGTAACAGTAGTAGAGGTCAATATTTGGACAGACGTCGAAATACCTGTGAATTTTGAGTTCTAGTAGTAAAAATTTAGGTAGATAAAAATTTTATTAAGTAGTAAAAGACAATTTTAGTCAGACACATTTAGTAGTAAAGTGATTTAAAAATTTTTAATAACATTTTCCTTGTGAAAAATAAACCTTATTTTTCTGCAAGTAGTAAAACGTACTTTTAGTTAATTTTAAGTAGAGACAAATTTTTAATTAGTAGAAAAAGACAATTTTACTGATTAAAATTTTTAATTAGTAGTAACAGACAACTTTAATCAGACACGTTTTCTAATGTCACTTTACTTTAAGTAGTAATTTCGAATTATAAGGAAATACCAAATTTTTATTTGTAGTAGAAAGAAATTTTAGTGAGACATGTGTTCTAATGTTAAGATTCAACTGTAAGTAGTAAAATCATCGTTTAGTCAGACAAATAATAATTTTATTTACATTAAAAACAACTTGAAGTTTTACTTCCGTTTCCTTATAGTTCTGATTTTAGTAGCAAAGGGATTTTAAAATTAGTAAATTATCCTTCCAAAAAATAAACCTTTTAAATTTTTTGCCAGTAGTAAAAATTACTTTTAGTCAGACATATTTATCCTTCTTGTTATAGTAATCAAAGTAAATTTCAATTTTAAGTAGATATCAATTTTCAATTAGTATAAAAAGACAATTTTAGTGAAACTTATTCTAATGTTACAATTTTACTATAAGTAGTAAAAACATCGTATAGTCAGACAAATAATTTATTTTATTATCATTAAAAATAACTTGAAGTTCCTTTTCAAATTTGTTCTAATAAAAATTGTAGTAGGAAAAATGATTAAAAAGAAGACAATTAATTTAAAAATCTTCTAAATTTTTTTTCAGTAGTAAAAACTACTTTTAGTCAGACATATTTTTATTATTTTTTATTATTTTTATCAGTCATATTTTTTTATTCATAGTAATTTTTAATTTAGGTGGATAAAAAATTTTTAATTAGTAGTAAAAGACAATTTTAGCCTGCCATGTGTTTTAATGCTTAAATTCTACGATAAGTAGTAAAAGCATAGTTTAGTCAGACGAATAATTATTTTATTTTCATTTAAAATTTGAAGTTTCGTTTCAAATTCTTTCTATTAGTGTTTTAAGTAGTAAAAGTGATCTAAAACCCTATAGTATTACATTTTTCTTGTAAAAACACGTTATAAATTTTCAGACAGTAGTAAAAATTACATTTAGTCAGACATTTAACTTTCTTATATCCGTATTCAAAGTAATTTTCAATTTTAAGCAGATAAAAATTTTTAATTAGTAGAAGAAGACAATTTTTGCGAACGTTACAGTTCTACTGTAAGTAGTAAAAACATTGTATAGTCAGACGAATAATTATCTTCATTTAATTTTTATTTTTTTTAAGTAATTAAATGTAAATTTTAGCCAGGAATGTTTCTTTACAAATTATTTTTCGTTGGAGAAAATGTATTAAATATTTTATCAAATTTGTATTAGTAGTAAAATTGACATAGTCAGGTATATTTATCCTTTTTGTTTTAGTAATCAAAGTAATTTTTAATTTTAAGTAGATAAAAACTTGTAATTTATAGTATTTGATATATATTGATATTTGATAATAAAATCAAATATTTGGTATTAAAAATCAAATTTTTGGTTTTTAAGTAAAGTATTTTTCATTAAAAATCGAATATTTAGTATTAAAGTTAAATATTTAATAAAAAATTTATTAAGTAGTATGAGACAAATTTTAGTCGGACACTGTTACAATTCTAGCGTAAGTAGTAAAAACATCGTATAGTCAGACGAATAATTATTTTATTTTCAATAAAAAAAAACTTGAAGTTCCTCTTCAAATTTCTTATAATAAAAATTATATTAGGAAAAGTGATTTAAAATGAGACAACATTAAAAACCTTTTAAATTTTTTGTCAGTAGTAAAAATTACTTTTAGTCAGTCATATTTATTATTTCTATTTTTGTATTCATAGTAATTTTAAATTTAGATGAATAAAAATTTTTAATATGTAGTAAAAGACAATTTTATCTTGTCAGGTGTTTTTATTCTTAAATTCTACTATAAGTAGTAAAAGCATAGTTTAGTCAGACGATTAATTATTTTATTTTCCTTAAAAATTTGATGTTTCGTTTCTAATTCCTTCTAGTAGTGTTTATTTTAAGTAGTAAAAGTGATATAAAACTCTATAATAACATTTCCCTTGTAAAAAAAACGATACAAATTTTCTCACAGTAGTAAAAATTACTTTTAGTCAGACATAATACAATTCTACTATAAGTAGTATAAACACTGTTTAGTCAGGCCAATAATTATTTAATTTCCAATAAAAATAACTTGACATTTCGCTTTCAATTTTTGATAAAAAAAAATTGTAGTAGTAAAAGTGATTTACAACGAGACAGTGAATTAAAAAACCTCCTAGTTGTTTAGTCAGTAGTAAAAATTACTTTAGTCAGACATATTTATCCTTTTTGTTTTGGAACTCAAAGTATTTTTTAATATTAAGTAAATAAAAAATTTTCATTTCTAGTAGAATACAATTTTAGTCAAAAATGTCTTGAAATAATTTTTTTTTAGCAGTAAACAGTACTCTTGGTCAGACACATCTATTCTTCTTCTTTTTGGTATTTAGAATAGGCTTTCATTTTAGTTTAGGTAGATATAAATTTTATTAAGTAGTAAAAGACAATTTTAGTCAGACACATGTTCTAATGTTACAATTCTACAGTAAGTAGTAAAAAAATCGTTTAGTCAGACATATTTACTCTTCTTTATCTTTTTGATTTTATTCCCGAAGACAAATCCTTAACAACAAAAAATTCAATGGTAAAATAGAGTTTTAGTCAGACTTAAAAAAATTCCACAAAAATCTTGCAGTCAACTAAAATAAATGAATAAAAATTTAGAATCATATCCTCATAAAGTATTTTCTCGAGTTACTTGTCAGGTCATTAAAAAAAAAATGGGGGTAAATCTTTTTTTTCATAACTCTAAAAATCTTGAAAAATTATTCCCCACAAAATGAGTAATAAAACTCTTCTGACACATCGTAGATCTTAAAACAGTGGCTAAATAACGTATTTTAGAAGTGTGACAATGTCACATACAGCTAGTAGAACCAACCTCCACCTCCACCACCACGACCACCTTTCGAGTAGGGTGGATTCAGAGGGTTTTCATACCCATCCACATTTCGTATATTTTATTATTACTCGTACTTTCGTGTGTCCGGAGAGGTTCCCCAGGCATTTCCATAGGTCGAAAAGAGAAGTTGTTGTGAGTGAAAGAGAGTAAAGTATAATACAAGGGGTGATGTTACCAGGGGTTCTCTCGTGGTAGTCGAGAAAAGAGAGAGAGAGAGAGAGAGGGGGGGAAGGGGTGGTGGTTAGCTCGCCCGTTATTAATGTCTCTGGCATATAGCAGAGTTATAACAACCACGCACGGTGGAGACGGAGCAAGAAGAACGGAATGATGTAGAAAAAGAGAACCGAGTTCTTAATAATTGATAAAAATGTATGCATACGCCCAGCTAGTCAAAAGCGGGGTTCTGACGCTATGGTTTTTTTTTATATTTCTCTTTTTTTTTATTTTTTTACCGGGGAATGACACAAGGGGAAGGAGAGAGTGAGAGAGAGAGAGAGAGTGGATGCTAGTTGGAGGTTGGGTGGACTGGTCCGTTGACAAAGGCAACACGATTTATTCCCACTTTTCAAGCGGACGTCGCCGCGGCGCCCGAGAATTTTTCTTCGTTCCGTCACAAATTCGGAATTATCAAAATTTATGCCTCTCGTACGTCCATCAGAGCATGTAATGGATCGCTTTTTCCTTTTTTTCAATAAAGACCTCTTTACAATAGTTTAACATTATATCCCCGACAGGGGTAATTATAGAAAAAAAATGCAATTTTACAATTTTTTTTATAGTAAAATTTGATATATAAACAATTTGTTTTCAGAGCTATTTTTATATAATTTTCATTTTAGAATCACCCAGAAACTAGAAAAAAATTTTAACCACCTAAAATTCAGGCTTCACAGTCTGTCCCCTATTTCCCTAAAACTCCCCTTTTTCAATTTTGGACCCTAAACGTACCCTATTTTGAATATTTCCCCTAAATTTCCCCTATTTTTCTCGTCGCTGGAAATTAATTTTTTTCAATAATTTTTAAGTAATTCTGCAAAAGAATTCAATTATCATGATAATCAACGAAATTCTCCCCATAAAATCAATTATTTTAAGGATTTTTAATGAAATTCTTAAAAAAATTTTAATTAAATTCTTAGCAAAATTTCAATTACTTAAACAAAATTCAATAAAATACTTTGCACGAATTCAATTATTTTCATCGTAGAATTTCAAATATTTTTAATACAATTTTAAATAAATTCCTTGAAAAATGCAATTATTATTAAAAATTTGTATTAAAACTTAAGGAAAGAATTCAATTTTAAGAAACATTAAATTATTCAATAAAATTATAAAATTCGTTGTAATAATTCAAATATTTTCATAAATAACATTTAATTAGTTGCAAAAAATTAATTATTTTCAAAAATTTTTAAGTGAAACAAACGAATTCAATTAGCTTGATAAATAACAAAATCCCATAAATTTTTCCCATAAAATCAATTATTCTAAGGAATTTTAATAAAATTCTTTTTTGAAATTCAATTATTTTGATAAATATCAATATTCATCACAAGAATTCAATTCTTTTGAAAAGTAATATAATACTTTGAAGAAATTAAATTATTTTCAAAATTTTTTGAAAATTCTCTTCAGGAATTAAATTATCTTTATAAATAGATGGGGAAAATCTTCTCAAGAATTAAATTATTA